CAACCAAGGCCTGAAATTCTCTGAATTTATCAAATACCTGATCTTTGGTCTTCAAGATATAAACCCAGAGCTTCCTTGAATGGTCATCAATAAAAGTCACAAAATAAAGTGCACCACCATGTGACTTGACCTTTAAAGGACCACACACATCAGAATGTATCAACTCCAGCAAATCTGGCTTTCTAGAAGAAGGATGACTTTTGAAAGAAACTCTTTTCTACTTCCCAGCCAAGCAATGAACACACTTGTTCAGTCTCACTGCTTTTACTCCTGAAAGCAAATTCTTCTTGGCCAAACAATTCATCCCCTTTTCACTCATATGACTGAGTCTTTTATGCCATAACTCTGAAGTGCTATCACTTTCAACCAAGTTCACAGAACTATGAGCAATGGAACCTTGCATTAGGTATAAATTAGAAGACTTTTTATCTCTAGCCACAACTAAAGAACCTTTGGTGAGCTTCCACTGTCCATCACCAAAGAAATTGCAGTAGCCATCATCATCAAGTCTTCCTGCAGAAATCAAATTCAAACAAACATCAGGTGCATGCTTGACATTATTAAGAACAAACCTTGTACCATTACTGGATTGCAGATAAACTGTTCCAATGCCAACCACTCTTGTCTGATTGCCATTACCCATCTTTAATACACCAAAATCACCAGGTGTATAAGATGCAAAGAACTCCTTCCTTGGAGTGACATGAAATGCAGCACCAGAATCCACCACCTAGCTAGTCTCATTACATGCAAAATTGATGATATTCTCATCAAGAGTGATGAGAAGATCAGAAGCTATAGCAGCAGAATTTCCATTCCCATTGTCTTTATCTTCCTTTCCTTTCTTCTTCATCTCCTTTTTTAGCTTGTAACAATATTTCTGGGTGTGCCCTACGCAGCCACAAAATTCGCATTCAAAGGTCTTGTTCTTATTTCTTGATTTGCTTCTGCTTTTGCTCGAACCTCTGTGACCACCTTTAAACTTTTCTCTGCCCCTCTCTTGAACAATAAGAATATCAGATTGTGATGATGAAGATGAACCCTGAGATCTTCTTCTCGACTCTTCATTCAAAACACCACTTTTAACATGCTCCATTGTCACAACACCACTAGGAGCAGAATTGGCTAAAGAAATACGAAGAGTCTCCCAAGAATCTGGCAAAGTGTTCAACAACCAAAGTCCCTGTATCTCTTCGTCAAACTTAACTCCCGTTCCAGTTAACTAATCAAGGATACCTTGAAAATCATTCACATGATCTAAGAAAGAGCAACCTTCCTTGTATCTCAAATTCATCAACTGCTTCAACAAGAATAGCTTGTTGTTGCCTGTCTTTGAAGCATACAATGTCTCCAGCTTATCCCACAAACTTCTGGCATGTGTCTCATTAACAATATGATTCAAAACATTGTCTTCTACCTATTGCCGAATATAGCTGCAAACCTGTTGGTGCTCAAACTCCCAATCCTCGTCAGACATAGAATCAGGTTTCTTAGAACCAAACACTAGCAGATGCATCTTCTTCACAAACAAAAGATCTCTCATCTTACCTTTCCACTTGTGGTAATTAGCTCCATTCAAACATACCATCTTGCTAACATTAGCCTCTATATTCAGTTCAGTTATTCAACTAACAACCAAAGCTCCGCTAATAAATGTTGGGAAGTAAAGTGCCGGAGTAGCCCGCAAATCAGGGAGAAAACAAACGAGGCCCAAGTGAGATCCACACTCGTAGGCTTGGACACCACAAAGTAACCCAAAACCTTAAGGCATTGGGTACATGGGTCCATTCCACTTATATTTTACTCACTTGGTCTCTTTCTATCCGATGTGGGACAATTACTCATACTTGAACACCCAACATTTAGCATAGTCTAGCTTGGAACTTAATTTTTAGGTTTGGGAGGGTGCTTCTGAGAGAGTACTACATGCATCTGGCTTATAAATGGTTGGTCCATTTAAATGCTCTTGGTCTTTTCATGGAGTGGCAGTGATTGTGGAAAATTAAACTGCCGGTCAAGATTGTGTTTTTTGCTTGGTTAAAGCGTTGGAGGCGCCTGTTGACGAATGCGAAGCTGTGTCAGATGGGCTTAGCTTCAACGGATTTGTGTTCTTTGTGTGGTTCCATTCTGAAAATATAGACCATGTACTACGACACTATAGTAGCGCTCGTGCTACTTGGAACTTACCGGTGTTGCAAATCGTCATTCTTCAACATTGACGTCGTCAACCTCCTCACAGGAAAGTTTCAAAACCGCTTCAACTATATACCCTTGATGGATTGCATTAGATATCTTATACAACAATCTTGGAAGGTGTCTTTCATACATGTTTTCCGCGAGTGTAACTCTGTCGTTGATAGTTTAGCCAAGAAAGCTCTCTCTATGGAAGAGGGCTTCCATGACTATGCCCAACCTCCTGATTTTTGTATGCCCGCACTTGTGGCAGAGGCCACAGGTGCTAATGTTCCACGCAATTTCTTGATTTAATATAATAAAGCATCTTTTCACCAAAAAAAAAACCAAATTTGATGGCACAATCTCTACCCCTCAAGGTATTGTTGCTTCGGCCCTTGCTCTATCTCATGAATATTGCAATGCTTTCCTTGGAGACAGTTGGCCAATTGTGCCTAGACCCAGAGTTGGGTTGCATGGAAATTGGAAGCCCTTTGTGAGAATTGAGTTAAAGTGAATGCTGATGGTAGTGCCCAAGGCAATCCTGATCTTGTAGGTGCAGGCGGGGGCCACCCAAAAAAATTCCACAGGTAATAAATTTACTACTACATGTGACACCAGGTGGCATTAGTAAAAGGTCAAATTAACGGAAGATAGATGGAAGGGCATGACTAAACGAATTTATTTAATACATGTATACAATCCAACGGATTGATATAGTAAGATGGGAAAAAAATACAAATACATAAAAGAGCCGAATTAAATTATATAGAAATGTAGGGGCCACAATCGAATTTTTAAAGTATGATCAATGAGGATTTTGCCGACATAGGTATGAACTGCTTTCATCGGGACAACTCGGTGCTAGTTTTGCCTATGGTTGAATTTAGGAATCAATATTGTTGTTGTAGATTCATTCAACGGTAGGAAATTTGAATATGAAGCAACACATCTTTTCTTTACTTGCAGCTCCTTAGAAGAATTATTGGTTTAGCTGGCCAGACAAAGAGCAGGAAAAAAATCATTTTCTTCTATCTCTTGTACGACCAATTGGAGCTACTTGAATATTCCATGGACTAAATTTTGAATTCCGTAAGAGGGATGGACTCACATATATATATATATATATATTTATATTTTTGTTGGAGCACATAATAACTTATTGACCCTTGTTTATTTCCATATCTCAAAAGATTATCTGCAAGTTTTCTTCGTTTTCTCTTTTCGGAAAAGAAAAGCAATGCACAAACCAAATCAATCAGATGTCATGTGTAGAGACTCTATATGATATATCATACTACTTGATTAGTGCAATGAACTCGAACAATATTATAACCCCAATCAACAACATGTTTTCTAAATTGTATGTATGGTTAGCTGGTTACTGCATCCTCAAAAGATTCTATAACATTATATCCACACGAGGACGGTGACAAGAGGAGGAATAACACAAACACAAGTACAAACACGGTGTAGGATAACTGCACAACACAGCCATGTTTTCTTTTCTAAAAAATATGAACATTATGGGTTTTTTTTTATTATTATTATGGTCTGCAATCAGTTGTATACACTTCGAGCAAAGAAGACAAGTGGCCCTTTACCAGTCTTGCAATGCAATACTGGTTCAACTGAAGTTTCCTGTAATCGGAGTAATGAGGGCACCAACATGTGTGTAACATCATGAATTGATAACGAAACGAAGTATGTCTTCACGAGTAGGGCCTGGGGAGGGGGACCATAATATATACTAGTACAGACAAACAACAAGGTTGACGTTGAGCAAAGGCAAAGCAATGCACGAAAACAAAACAAATTAGTAGTACTGCTAGTAAGCTACCGTGGGGCCCCTGAAAGACCAAAGCTTTAATCAATCCTCCCACCCACCCATTTTGACTTTTGCCCACTTTGCTTCCCCATTTACATAGATTTAGGATGACCTTCAATTCAAGCCCTTCTACACCTTACCAACCATAACCCTATAAGAAAAAGAAAAAAAATAACCCATTAACTTTTAGCCAAACCCATTAACCACAAAGTTAAAAAAGAAAAGAAAGAAACAAAATTGCACTTGTGAAGAATTCTCTCTCACACAGCATTATTAATTGGTTCGTGTAAATGGCCGTCCAATCTGGAAACTACCCACCTCTTTCTTGTGGTCAACCGTCTCGAACACGACATAATTAGTCTTCTTTTTTTGTTATTGTTTGACCGGGTCCCTTTCTTTACTTTTCCTTCCTTGGTTACTATTTTAATCAAAGGTGGGCTGATGTAAGAGAAATGTGAACTACTAAGAAGTAAGCATCCAAGAACAAGAACAAAAAGATAAAGCAAAAGCATCAAATTAAAAAAAAGAGAGACAGAGAGAGCAAATATAGAATAAAAAAGTGAAAGAGTATGGAACCCGCTTTGCTTTCCTTGAGATAGAAATCTAGTACCAAATCCACAATCTAGCCTTGCTTTTCGTTTTTAAAAATTACCAACTTGCCAACAGATGGGTTCACAGCGTTCAAAGAGTTGGGGGGAAAAAGAGGGGGAGAGCTAATCAAAGGAATCCAATCCATCATATTTTACAGGAAATGAAAGGAACTGACCCAACCAACTGATCTCCTTTGAGATAAAAAAAGCTTGACCCAATGTTACTTGGATTCCACCACTCATGCTTTACTAACTAGCCATTACAACCGCCACTACTGCTACTACTACCATCACCCTCCCTATTTTTTCAATGTTGACATGAAACACAAGAAGACCCACTTTGGAGACAAGTTCTTTTTCTTTTTTCCCCCTTCTGAGACGGTTTCTTGCAGTAGTTGTTTGAGGGTGATCTAAGAGGATTCTAGGATGAGATTAGTGGTCTCCGCGACAGAGATGTTGTGGTTGTGCTCCCCTTCGTATGTGACGACAAGCATTGATGGATCATCCAAGGCTCTTTCCACATGCTTCCTTGCTGGACAACCCCTCACGCTACTGCATTTGTAGTACCCTCTGTTGTATTGTAACATAAACACACACAAAGAAAACAATCAATTAACGTTCCAAAACAGAACCAAACTCAAATGTAAGAAATCCATATTTCAGTTAAGAGACTAAAATTTGGATTCAAAGATCAATTAATTTGTGGGTGATTAATTAATTAAAATCATAGGTAGCAGCTAATAGTCAACACCGTGAATAAAGTTGATTACTAATCAAGGAAATCACACGCTTGAGGGTGGGTGGGAATTGGGAATAAGTCAACTTTCAAGTCATGAATTACTATTTTCTATTATCCAAGGATTGATCCATGAAACCAGGCATAAAAAACCTGAAAAAAGGAGGAAAAATAGAAAAAAGTAAACACGAACCTAGGATGTGGAGACCCTTTAATGGGTTTTTGACCATATTTTCTCCACGAGTAATCATCTGGTGGAATATCAGCCATCTTCAGGCTAATGGCCGGGACTCTGACCACTCTTTTCAATCTCATCTTTCTGCTACAGAATCCCAAAAACAAAACAAAATTAGTAAATTGAAATTTTGAAGATTTAAACTTTTAGTCTCCTGGTAAGTATGAATCGAGAACCAAAGAGTTCAATTTACCTCTTCTTGGAGCAATGGCATCTGCCAGAGGAAGCACCACACTTGCCAGAACCCAGATTTTCAGAGCTGCACTTCCTCTTCAAGGACGAAGTAGACAGGGGAGGCTTACCAGCTGAAGAAACCTGAGACAGATTTGCAATCTGAAAGGCCGATGAAGATGATGGCTGCTTGCTATCATTATCACCCGTCAAGGAAGACATGAAAGAGTTATTCCCAGCGGAAGAATAAGAGAAATTAATAGTAGTGGATGAGTCTTTCCTCTCAATCACCCCATTACTCTTTGGCAGCATCATCATAGAAGCATAATCGTGGTGGTGATTAGGCACAGGAAGAGTAGGAGGGATTTGCTGGATCGGTGTAGCATAGTAAACCTTACTTGTTTCAAGAGCTTGGCTGTTTTCTTGCCTTGTGTTGGTATTACTTATAGTAGAAGGAACATGAGCAGGAGTATTGGCCACAGGAGCTCTTCTAAAGCGAGCATGGCCGGTTCTGGTTCGACCCAGAAGAGAAATGACTCTCTTGAACTTGGAGACAGCAACATCTGCAACAGCCTTGCAGTCCATGTCCATCTCCATGGAGGCTGTTCTTGAGCTCGAAGAAGAAGAAGGTGATGATGATTGGTGGTTAATGTTATTGTTATTACTGTTGTTGTTGTTGCTGCTGTTGTTATTGGCTTGATGCTGGTGGTTTTGTTGCTGGGAAAGCAATCTGATGAGCTTGTTAACACTTTCCAGCCCAGACGCAGCTTCTTGGACTGCGTTCTCTTCCATTTTGGTCACAAAGCTACCGTTCCTATAACCACTCATCATGAGCTCTACGGCCATTACTGAAACAAGACCACCATGAAACAGAGAGAAAGACAGAGGGAAAGGGAGAAAAAGTGCGGTATTGAAAAGAAAATGAGGGCAGCTGGGGCTGCTGATAAAGGCCAAGTCTTTGCAGTCTGGTCAAAATGATTGCATCGGCTATTGGGAAAATAAAGAAGAAATCTTGTAAATCAATTTCAAAATCAAAGGGGCATGGGATGGAAGGGTCATCACTGACCTGTCACCCTAGCATTTGCGGTCGAATATAGGCACGAATAAGATCCAACCACAATCACTTTTTTTTTTTTCTTGAGGTGGTCTTCCTTTGGCCACAGTTGAAGATACAAAATGCCAATTTGATAATTATTGATAGTGCCTTCTTTTAGAGAGAAAATGGTGATGGTGATATGTCAGAATATTTGACCTCCTCTGATATGTGGGGTCCATGCAGGTTAATTTGGTCTAATAGGACGTTAGAGAGCCATGCAAAGATGCAGAGAGATCGAGTCAAAGGATTGGTCACAGGCCGTCTGATATTTGGAGGGAGTAGATTTGAAGAAGGGGGTTTCGCTGTTGTTGGCAGGCCAGCATGAGATAGTTGACTTTTTATCCCGGGGCAACAATTCCCTGAAGCTTAGCTTAACTTTTGCTTTGCTTTGCTTTGTGGTCTTGCAATTTGTCTTTCTTGGCACAGTTAGATCCATTTAGTTCATCTACATTGTGACTATGCCTTCTTATCTACTCTTTTCTGGAGTACTCGAGTTATTTTCGTGTTTTTTCAAAAAAAAAAAGGCATCAGTGGTGTTATCATCACCCCGTCGGTCTAGGCCCCGTTGAATACCGGTTATATCCTGGCATTAGACTCTCTCTATAAGAGAGACCGCCCACCAGAGCACCAGCGGACACCTTCGCCTGCTACGCATCATAGTGTCGGGAGACCCCAAGCTCAACGGCCACCACCCTACAGTGTAGAAGGCCATAATCGGCCGCATCACACTATTATGAGGCGTGACTGAAAATGCCGGGACTCGAACCCAAATCCTAAAGATGGCAGGCTAAAAACTTTACTACAGGGCCACCACCCCGGTGGGAGTTATTTTCGTTTGTTTATATGGCAATGTCTTAATCCATGAATTTTAAATCGTTGAATCACATGACTCCTCGCAAGACGCATTATGTCCAATTAGAAAAATTTCCTGGGCATACTCGATCTGTCTAAGAATATTGTTAGAAGTTGTAGAATTGACACCTTGGACCAAACAAGAAGAAGAAATAGGCTCTCCACCAATCATTATTAAACATGAAATGGTCTCCGTGAATATTCATAGGCTCGTATACAGGAGATGGTGTATGAATAAAAGAAGAAGAAGAAATGAGTATGGATGTAAATGAGGCAAGTTATTCTATGACTTATTTGAGATTTTTTATTTTTTGAAGAGAATGCGATTGACTTATTTGAGATTAACTTGATGATAATTTGAACTTCACCCAAATTTATCAAGTTCGAGCCTAATAGCATTTAGGTTATTTGCCTTATTAGCTTACTTGAGCTTTTAATTGAGTGTGAACGAGCTTAAAACCATATACACTGAAACCAAACTTAATCGTGTTAGTTTAAATTTAAAGCAACAAACATATTTGAACCAAACTCGATTCTAAAAATTAAAACTTGATCCAGCCCAAACATTTCTACAATGAATTCATGAGTCACTAGCTAGTTTACATTCTTGAATCAAAAGCATGTAAATCAACTTAAATATAAAAATACATACAAATTGTCTCGAGATTTTAAAAGAGAATAATAACCTAGAAACTTGTTAAAGCAAATTCTACAGTAAAGTTGAAAACTCCAAACTATAAACGAGAAATGCATGTCCGCCTGGCTGAAGATTAAACAAATTCTACAGTAATATTTTTGTTTTTTTTTTTTGAACATAGTAATATTTTTGTTTTATGCACCAAATACTACAAAAAAGAATGGATAATGAATTGGTGACGGCACATGGTGGTGGGGACATATCAAATCACATGACTGATGACTGTATACTTCCCTACATACCCAAAATACCGGACGTATACATGTATGTATCCACAACATTCTGGTTATGTCCATTGGTATGGTGGGTGCTCTTATATATATAGCAACAACTCCTTTATCCATCCCTTCCCTTTCTTTTTTTTTTTCAAAAGCATAAGAATTATCCTTCCCTTCTCACGCACATTGTTTTCTACAAAACAAATATAAAAAAAAAAAAGGAAAACCCTATTCGGGCCCTTCTCATGTAATTGAGTAATTTTTTTTGTGTTTTGTGTTTCTTTCTGTGAGCTTGAATCGGAAACCAACACCAGATTCGTGAACTTCATTCTTATTTTGGTCAATTAATTTGGATTACGTGATATTTGATGTGATTCTGTGTAAGATTGAAGATCTCGGCGTCTTAATTAATAATGGAGCTTTTGAAGTCAAAATTCAACATTTAATAATTTTATTGCCCCATTATCTTTTTTTTTTGACAATAAATAAATATTTTATAGATCAGGGAGCATAATATCATACAAAGTTTGAAATATTACAATCCATAGAAACATAAGCTAAGCCGAAGTGAAAAGAACAACTAATACATACATACAGAGAAACAACTAATACCGAGGATCTAACTTCTGAGCAGATTAAACATAGAAGATTTTTTTCGGAGCGAGGCTGTGGCAATATACACCACGGGCTAATAATGGGAAATAGGTAGTGATCTTCAAAAGATAAGGGTTCTGCATAATGGCAGAATGCGCCACCCGTCACAAATTTACTGAAGCAAATTTGCCCCAAGAGATTGAGCCCAGCAGCACTCGAAGCCGAAGCGAATAGCGGAAAAACCTCCCAAAGCTTTACCTGCAAAACAAGAGTGAAATCCACAAGTACCATGGCAAAAGATTTGGTGAAGCAAGCAGCAGCGTACTGGTCACCCGAGACCGTAATCGCACACGGCGTAAACAAAGACTCCACCCAGAACCCACAAAAGCTTTCACTAAACCAGCATAATCCCCCAAGCGTAAACAAAAAGGTACGAAAACCGGATGGGAATTATGAGCTAAAGCTCCAAAAGACAAAAGAGAGGTGTAGACTAATAGGCAAAAGCTAGTCTCACCCAACCCATGACCCCTAGTTAGTCGAGTCATGCTGAGAGATTGAACTCTCAATGGAGCCGTTCACTGGCTGGGTACCCTGCAGTGCCTCCCTCAACTTCACGAATACGCTTAGAAGGCTAATGTTAGTTTGCTTCCAGGGCCTGTTGGGAGGCCAGCCTTTCACCACCCGGACTTGCCCAGACACAACAAGATAAATCTTTGAGATCTCGCCCAAACCCGGTGAGCCTAGAACCAAAGCCAAACCTTCATGGATGTTGCTCACCGTAGGGGAGCAAGAGATTTCTGACAGACCAAGCCGGCCGCAGTAGGGAGACATGAGCACAAGGCTGGGAACAACCAGAATTAAAGTAGTGAAGCTCAATCCGGACAACAATAAGACTAGAGGAAATGCAAGGCTGATAAGCAAAACAATTGGAAATTTTGGGCTAAAAGCTAGATGGGAGAAACAAGAAGAATCATGGGTTCATAGCACATAGTTTATTGCATGTATTTTTTTTTCCGAAGTTTATTGCATGTATAGCTTGAACTTTGGATAAGCAAAATATGGAGTTGTTATGATTAATTAGGGATAGCAACTTGCACGGGGTATTCTCGGATTGTCGCATTGCGGGGTAAGATGCTCTAAATTTGTGCGTTTCTTGACCATTGCTCGAAAGAATATAGGATATTAAGAAGAAGAAGAAGAAAAAGAAACACAAAAACACTGTTCTTTGGTCAATCTCATGTTACTGAATTTCAACTCAAATGATAAATTAAATATTCTCAGCCTCCCCAAAGTCCACATAGAGCGATAATAGACAGATGAGCCACTAATTGCGGCCACTGATAAGATGGCTAGAACCCAGAACCCAAAGGGGGTACTCACTCAAAATTCAATCACTGTTAATGAAATTCACTGAACCTATCTAATTCAGTTGGAGTTAAGTCGGCCTGTTTATAATTTTGTGAATAGAAAGGCAAATATGTGCGTAGATGATGCCCCTAGCTAGATTAGGATTGGCCTCTCATTTTGGTTTAGGCGTAGATAGAGTTCCACAGGCTACATAATATAATAGACCATATGAAGAGGGGCAGGGGAGACAACTGCATGCTGCTAGTGCAGCTACTACCTATGTTTTGATGTAAACCTCGTGTTTTTTTTTTTTGAGAATTAACCTCATGGTTTAATTGTTTTGATATATATATATACATAATATATATATATATATATATATATATATATATATATATATATATAAACTAATAATCATTAAGCAGACACGATCACAATTCCCTACCTGATTAGTAAGCGATCTCATGTAGCTTGCTGAATTAACTTTAGAAAGCAACACTAAATGGATTTCTGCTAGTTTGTTTTACAATTTTCTTTTCTCTCTGGAGGTACTCGTGGAAGATTCAGCCTTCCACACAATTCCAGATAATTAAAAACCTATGAGAACAGGGGGCAAAAATTTTTTTTTGAAGAAATCAACTACCTTTTTTGGTTGGAAGTTATTATTTTTGTTATAAAATTGGGAGAGAAATTCACTCTTTGATTGAATAATACAAACTTGATCAAGATAATAATACAACTTTGTGGGAAAATAATACATCTTTAATAATAATAATAAGAAAAGGAGAATCATTAAAGATGGAGGGAGATGTGGAAGAGTAGTGTTTGTGTATAGAAATGAAGAGAGTAAGCTTATTGTAGAATATCAAAAGGTGTAAGTGTGTATGGAAATGAAGGGGTATTTATAGGTGAAAATGGGAGGATAAAAACAAATGAGAATGATTAATTTAATAAGATAAAATCAAAAGGATATTAGGTAAAAGAAGATGGTATTAAGATTAAGACAAAGGGAATTATGGAGAGTAAATGGCCAAAGGGATGA